CAGGCTTATATTGGGACGTGCCCGAAGTCACACCATCTTTCAACTGTTTCTTCATCCACTTGGCGTGAGACATCAGCTGGCTTGTCATGGCGGTCATCTCAAAAGAAAAGGCTGCATCTGGCTTGATGAGTACAACCTCGCCGTTGTACTCCGTGCCTGGCTTGGCCACGACTGTCACGCCGCTGTTGGGGTCGCCAGGATTTGCAGAAACCACCTGTGGGTTAGTCACCAAATCCACGAGTCGTGAGGGCACGATTCGATTTGGGCGAGTGTTCTTTCGCATCCCTTCTTTCTCTTCGGGGAGCTCTGCCTCTCCGAAGAGAAAGAAGGGATCCCTAGCCCCCCAGCCGATCCCCAGCCCCCTTGCCAGCTACAGTGGCGAGGGGAGAGGAGAGGAGGTTGGGGAGGCACGAAGATAGGCGTGCACCAAAGTCGGGGATAGAAAAAGATGGCGATGACAGTAAGGAGGAGGAGGATGAGGAGGAGGAGGAGGAGAAGGAGGAGGAAGAACAGGAGGAGAAGCAGCAGCATAAGCAGGAGTCGGAGGAGGAGGAGGAGGCGGAGGAGGAGGATGAGGAGGAGGCAGGAGCAGAGACAGGAGAAGGAGCATGAAGCTATCTCAAGCAAACTTCGTTTCATTATTTGCCCATTGCCCACCTCGCGGAGCTTCTGTGTCAGCGCCGGGACGTCGGTGGACGAATCCTTCACCTTGATGCTCTTCCCGATCCTCCTCACGCCCTTCTTGTAGGTCCCAACCGACTTCTCGGCATCTGTCTTGAGCTTGCTGTACGCGTCCTTCGTCTGGTCGATCACCTTCTTTTTCGCGTCTGCAAGGTCGACCTCCTCAGCCGAAAGCAACGGTGCGAGGTCTGTCTCACTGGTCTTCTTATGCAGGGCGTCGAACTCCAAGAAGTATGCATCGATCTCGTTCTCGAACGCGGTCCTGAGCGCCGCGGCCTCGTCAGAACGTTTCTTGCCGAACAGTTCATCGGCCTCATCTTCAGCATTTTTCTTTGACCGCTCGATCTTCTCCTTCGTGTCTTTGACCATCTGGCATCGATCGCGGACCAACTTCTGCAAGTCAACCAAGACCTCAGCTTTGGTCTTCTTCGGGCGCCCCTGCATGATGGCGGTCTGCGCGGCTTGCGCCCTGACGCGTGCAGCTTGCTGGGCCAGATGATCATCATGATCTTCTTGTTCAGCGATTCTGGCGTCGTTCTCCTCCTTGGCTAAGATGTCTCTCTGCATCTCGTAGGTGATGTCGTCGTCCATCTCCATGTTCAGCTCCCGGTTGCAGGGCCTCACCAGGTGGTCTGGGATCTCAGGTTGTGGCGTACTCTGGTAAAGTTTAGCTCGGTTCGCTTCAAGCTGCTCATCGTGGACCCTCGACGAAGCGGCGCTCGCACTATCCGACAAGAAGCGAGCTTGCCTCAGATCATCAGCGGTTTCCACCGTCTTCTGCCGCTTCCAAGAGTTCTCCGAAGTCTGGAACCTCCCAAGTCGGTCCTCCACGCCCTTGAAGATGCCGATGAGCCAATCTCTCCCTCGCCTCTTCTTGGGGGCGTCCTTGTCCTGGACCTTTTCCTCAAAAGATTTGATGGCAATCTTCTTCTGCTCCTCGACGCTACCATTCCCACAGTTGCCCAGCTGCCTCTCCCGGATGATCCACTCGTCCTGCAGGGGCGGGGAGGAGGAGACGAAGCATCGAGAGGACCGAATCGCGTCACGATGTCCCATGGAATCGCTTTGAGAAACACTTGGCCGCTTCGGGCCGATCCTGAGCCGTGCCAGGAAACCATAGGCGCTTCGTCAGGCAGCGGGGCAGAGGAGGAGGACGAGGAAGAGGAGAAGGAGGAGGAGGGGGAGGAGGGGGAGGAGGAGGGGGAGGAGGAGGAGGAGGAGGAGGAGGAGGGGGGGGAGGAGAGGGAGCAGGGGGTGGAGGAGCAGGAGGAGGAGGAAGAGGACTAGGATGAGGATGAAAAATCGCCCACTCCGCCCCCCCTAGGCCGAGTCTCGAGTGGACGCGGTGAATGGAGGGAAGAGGGCTTAGAGTGGAAGAACTATCTGATTCTTACGGGGGCCCTCAGGTCCAGCGGGATGTAGGAATAGAGATCTTCCTCTGATTGGCGGACTCCCTGAGTATTGCCCTGTTCGTGGAAGCCAGGATTCTCAAACTTGCGGCGCGTGGATTTCTGATCTGGCTTCTTGTTCGTGCGAAACCATTGGATACGTTCATCCTTGCTCAAATCGAACTTCCACCACTTCTTAAGGGCACCATCCTTTTTGCAACGTTCATTCTGGCGGTTGTAGTTGTTTTTGCAATCAATGCAACTCTTCTGGTTTTTCGACCACACCACGCACTGGGATGACGGGCAGTACTCCTCACAATTGCAGCAGAGAACCTTCGTCGCCCCCGGCATGACCTGGCACATCATGGAGTCCGCAGAAGGCGTGCCTGGCGTCGCTGGCGAATGTAGCTGCGGTGTCGAAGTACCACCAGCCTCCCCAACCACCCTTGCACGAACTACAACTCAAACGCAACACAAGCCGCACACTGAATCAAGCTGCAATGCGTGACACGTGGCATTCCATGTAAGAGATATCTTGCAACATACCACGCATCAATAACACAACTGCTGATACGCGTGAAGCATCAGCGAACATCCTCATGCAACTCTCTCATCCCTCAGCCCAGCCCCTCCTTCGACGGAGTACCCGAGGCGCTCATCACGATGCTAACGCAGAAGTGCCAAACCCTGCGAGTACGCGCAAGCGTTCACGAACGAGCCTTCTGCCTTGAGCCCGAGATTCTTGCAACAGAACACAGGTGCAAGAGCGTCGATCACAATGTGACCCCGAACGTTTCAATGGACGCACACGTGGGTAAGATGTCCCTCCGAAAAAAGGTGGAGGGGGAGTTTGAGGAGGATGTGTAGGAAGGCCAGGAGGATGTGGAGGTGGAAGAGCAGGAGGAGGCATCCGAAGGAGGCGGAGGAGGGGGATGGGGAACAGAGTGGAGAGGGGGACGAACACGAGGACGCCAAGTTGACATGAGAGGGTTAGCTCGGCCGAGTGGTGGCTCGAAGACGACGCGGACGTGGAGGCATGGCCGTATTCGAGTGTTTGACCGATCGTTCTGAGTGGGATCCATAGTCGGCCAGTGGGTTCAATCGAACGCGCTTGGCCACGACAAGGCTTGGCCGATTGAATGGCTCGTTTATTTTGAATGTCGAGACAATCGCGTGAGACGGGATCGATTGGTTGACCTTCCGACAGAGTTCATCCCTTCTATTATCTCTCTCTCGCTCTCCCTCTCGCTGTCTCCCTCTCTCTCTCTCTCTCGCTCTCTCCCCCTCTCTCCTTCTGCCTCCTCCCACTGTTCTCTTTCTCATCCTCCCCGCCCTCATCCACCTCGCCCCCCTATCAATCTATCCACCCTTTCCGACAGCACGCGCCAATCATCCCGCCTGCAGTTCTTTTGGGGGGAGGGGGAGCATCAGCACATCCAGCGTAAACAACATGTGGTGTCCTATGCCTTCTGCTTGCTCCTCCTTCTCCCCCTCCTCGTTTCTCCTGCCTAGTTTTCGGCGAGGAGATAGGCTGACACGCATGAACTCATTCCAAAAAAAAACATGGGACGTGAAAGCTGTCATTTTCTCGATCATGGGACACTGCCACTGGATCCTGATACTAGCGCATGGGTCCAAGCTACGAGTACAGGTGCCATAACGCACCCAATCATACCCACAGGAATTGTGCTTCCAATTGCAGTGTCTAGATCATCATCGGACAAAGTCCGCAGCGTGTGCGGGGATATCCCAGACATGTTCGCCTTCTCGTTGCGATTCAGGAGCCTCCCCGATCCCTCCAGAGGCGAGCTGTCCAGGTGTAAGATTCGCTATGGCCCTAGTGCCGCATCGCTTACTTCTGAGCCTATGAGACTATGAGGTGCCCCTTTCCACAACAAGCAGGGTTACAAGTTGCAACGATGCCCTCCCAGCCCTGGAACCAAGACGGAACGATGTTTTCAATTTCAACCCGTTTCGGTGTAAGCGGGAATTTTCTTCATTCATTATTTCTTCTCTCCTCCGCTCAGTGTGTTTTGTGTTTCTCTGTGGTTGTGTCTGTCTGGCTCTCTATATGTCTGTGTCTCTCAGGTTTCTTCTTCTCGCTATATATCTCCAGTTTCTTTCTGTTCCGATCTCAAATGCACGCGCATGTGTAGCCAATCCCCTCTGCATGTGTCCCCCTTTCTCTTTATATGCAGGAGTTGTTTTGAGTACGTGCATGACGTTCATTACACCACTCGCGTTATCACCCCAAGCTCCGATGCGCGCTACCATAGCAACACATTGCCCACTGCCCAGCGGCGGATCCTGCCACGCCCCCCGAAGATAGGCTTCATATGATCGCAAGGTATAATCCAGAGATGTGCGCAATTCGCCCTTCCCCTTCTCTGCGCCAGTCGCGCAACAAACAGGACCAGACAAGTAAGAGGATGAGGAGGCAGTGGAAGATGATGATGATGAGGAAGAAGTTAATGAGGAACAGTAAGATGGGGAAACTGGTATGGATGAGAAGCGAGAAGCGCCAAGGCGACTCAACAGGTTTTGGGATGCTCGACCGCCCTCTCATCCTGCGTTCGCGCTGCATGTGATCCAGGCTGCACCGCCGCACCGCGCCCCGACCTACATCCCATGCTGAGATGACTGTTGTTCTGTCCGCACATGCACCGCCCCCACCCTCCGAAATGTACGGGCTTTGCCGTAAGATATGTCGTTCTCGACCTTTCTGTCAGGATCCCGCGCAGCATCAATAATCCCAATGTGATCGCAAGCGTCAAAATCTGTCACAAAGTGGTCCCGACTTCGGTCCATCTGGGTCATGACGTTCATCTGTTGTCTCACACTCAAGTGCAGGAAATCAGCCGACAGACCCCATGGGGGTCAGCAGGGGGCGGGAGCATCGTATTCAAATTCAATGATCAGATCGATCTTCAGCACGACATATGCTGAACGGAAGGCGGCGTGCGCAGCAAGAAGGTTGTTTGGGTGAGGAAAAAACAATGAGGCGGCGAAACGCTCTCAGGCTACGCAGACATTTAGGAACCGACGCGCTGGGCTGCGAACCAGGCGCGCATGCGGTGGAGCTCTCCATGGGGCCACGCAGCGCGTGAGGGGGTTGCACCTACATCGAAGGTAAGTTCGAAAAGAACACCATTGGCCTCCCCCGTAAAGTGAAATGGTGGGGTGGTTTAGATTCCCCATCAACCCTGGTCCTTCCCTTCCAAAGGGGAGGGGGTCGGGCCACTCCCGAGGCTCCCCATTCCTGTTCCCCCCCCCCCCCCCATGGTTCGGAACCCAACCCCTGGCACCAGAACCCCTTAAGTCGTGAGGTCTAAGGCTTAGGGCTGTTTGGGCTAAGGGTTTCGGGCTTAGGCATTCTGGGTTAAGGGCCAAGGCTCAAGGCCTAGGGCTTGGGGCTTAAAGGGTTAGGGTTTTGGGCTTACGGCTTACTGGCTATGTTTTGGGGCTTATGGGGTTAGGGCAGATGGGGTTGGGGGGGGGGGAGGGGGGTGAGCTGTGGGCTTATCAAGGATTCGCGCTTAGGAAGGTGAGGGTAAGGCTTCGGGCTCAGGGCTGAAGGCTTGAGGTTTCCCGCTCAGGGATTACGTCTTAGGGGCTGGGGCTCAGGGCTTAAGGTTATAGGGCTTATAGGGCTTGACATTGGGCTTATAAGACTTACAGGGTCGAATACATAAGGCTTATAGGGCCCCCGGGGCGTAGGGCTTATAGGGCTGAGGGCTTTGAGTTTTGGGTTGAGAATGGGGGTGAGGTGAGAATGCTAGGGCTTAGAGCTCAAGATTTGGGGCTTGGGGGTTAAGGAATCGGGATCAGGGGCGGGCTTATGGCTTTTGGCTTAGGGGTTAGGGCTGGGAGTTTAGGGCGGTTTAGGGGCTATAGGGCTTGTGCCTTAGGTGCTAGGGTATTTTGAATTGGTGATAGGGCTTAGGACCCAGGGCTTAGTGGTTATGGGGGGAGGGCGTAGGGCTTGAGGCCTGTAGGCTTCAGACTTACAAGCTTAGGTTTGAGTGGTTGGTGGCGAAGGCTTCGGGCTTAGGGCTTAGAGCCTGAGACGTGAGGCTTAGGGCTTAGGGCATTGGGCTCAGGGTGGCAGGGCTTTGAGGTCAGGGGGTTGGGCTTAGGGCGTAAGGGTTAGAGCTTAGAGCTTATGTATCAAGGCTCAGGGCTGAGGTTTTAGGGGCGAGGGCGTAGGGCTTCGGTCTGTGTGCTGAGGCTGAAGAGTTAGGGGCCCATGGCTTGGGGCTTAGGGCTTAGGATTTGAGGGTGAGGATTTATGGTTTAGAGCTGCTGGCATGGTGCTTAGGGATCAGGAGCTTAGAGTTTGGGGCTTTGGGGTCAGGACTTAGGCCTTCGGGCTCATAACTTATGGCTTGTGGTTTAACACGTTGGGCTTATGCCCTTAGGCTTAGGGGGTAGTAGCGGCTAGGGCTTTGGGGTAAGGGGTTAGGGCTTAGGGCTTCATGCTTAGGTCAGGGTTTAGGGGTAGGGCTTAGGATTAGGGCTGAGCGGCTGAGGGTTCAGGGGGAGGGTTAAGAACTTCTGGCTTTCGTTTTTGGGCTTCAGGCTTAGGGCCAAAGGTTTAGTGGCTTA